TGGGATTCTATGTAAGCACACACTCAAAGGGAACATTTATGTATCATTTAAAGGTCCACCTATTAGCAAGTTCACACTTGTTCGATGTCTCTGTCTACATTCAACATGTTGTTCCTCTCTTCTTCCATGTCTCTTCTACATGCAACATTGTGTCCCCTCTTCTCGCCAGTGTCTCTTCTACATCAACATGTTGTCCCCTCTTCTTCATGTCTCTTCTACATCAACATTGTTCCTCTTCTTCAGTCTCTTCCTACAGTCATACATGTGTCCCCCTTTCCTCTCATTGTTCTCTGTTCTACATCTTAATCATGTGTCCCCTCTTCTTCAGTGTCTCTTCTCTGAGTCGATCAACATGTCGTCCCACTCTTCTCCATGTCTCTTCTACATCAACATGTTGTCCTCTCTTCTTTTCATTGTGTCTTCACATCAACATGTCGTCCCCTCTTCTTCATGTCTCTCTCAGTCAACATTGTGTCCCCTCTTCTCATGCTCTCTTCTACATCAACATCGGTCCCGCGCTCTTCTTCATGTCTCTTCTACATCAACATGCTGTCCCCTCTGTGGAACAGAGACTCTGAAAGTTTCAGGAACAAAGATTCTCCTCTCTTTTTGTCCTGATGTCCATTTCTATAAAGAACCTGTCGAATAATTGAGCTGATCAGACTTTTTGGCCACTTGTATGATGTCCATAACGATGTTTTGGCTTGAGTAACCAGTAGCCAATCAGCAACCAAGGTAACCCCCCCCCACCTTATCACCTGAATCTCCTCCTAGAGCACCATTATCTTTAACAGAATATCTCTCAGAGGGGCGTGGGGAGTGGCTCCTTATTTTCATCTAAAGCAGGGGTGTCAAACTCAATTTCATCGCGGGCCACATTTGCATAAAGGTTGCACTCAAAGGGCCGGTGGTAACTATATAAATATATAATATATATATAAAATAATGTATTATATTACATTATTGCCTCTGAATTGGATTATTATCGGATAGGGTAATAACTAACTACGTCTGAAAGCAGAAGTCCAGGGCAAATAATTGCAAGTCTCTTCAGTGTGCATGTCACAAAACGAGATGCATTGTGGGACATGTAGTTTATGGGCATCCTGCTTCTGTAAAGTGGCATGTAACCGTATAATAAACTTATTATATTCTTTGCAAGCTCTTGCAGGGCCACATCAAATGAAGTTGCGGGCCGGATTTGGCCCCCGGGCCTTGAGTTTGACACCCCTGATCTAAAGTAACAGACAGAGAATCAGCACTTTGGAAACAGGGCTGAAACAGAGGGGATTATGGGTAATGCTGCAACGATCTGTTTGGTGTTTGGAGCCAAACACTTCAGAGACATGTTCTGTATATATCTGAGACCTATAATATATTGATGAAAAACCGTATAATAGGGGACCTTTTTAAGTGAGTTAAAATCGTCCACTTGGGGGCGCCAAATCCAAAGGAATCAGAGCAGAAGTTATGTTGCAGCTTCTACAGTAGGTTGTAACACATGGTGCGTTCATTTTATTTGCCAACACATTCTGCTTTCTGATTCACGGCCATCAAGCATCGGAATATGCTTCCAACTGAGCTTAAAACATGAACGCACTCTTTTACCAATATAGTGCAAACAAAAGTATATTAAGCAGTTTGTTTATCACACATTTGACAGTTTTTAGTGGAAATAACTTATTTTATTATAATTATTCCACTATAATGCCAGTTTTAATACTTTATACATCCGCACTTTCATCTGCTTTGTATTTCTTATATATTTAAGTTTTAAGTGTGCTCGTGACAACACCATTTTTTTTACTGTTTTTTTATTGTTTTGTGCCTAAGGACTACAGATGGAAAGCAAAATCTGGCATCTTCTCTCTTTCTGAGATTAATGTATTTTTTATGCATTGCCTTGATTTATAAACACATAATAATATACTGAAATATTGTTGGATTTATAGCTTAATAGCCCATCTGGCGGTATGAAGCCTCGAATGTACTTCAAAGCTTTTATTTACAGTGATTCCTCTCCTCTATCTGTTACATGTTATAATAATAATACATTAAATGTTTATAGCGCTTTTCCCAGTGCTCAAAAAACGCTTGACACGAAACAGAAACAGCACAAAGAAAACAAAAACCACAAACAGTAGTCCTAATCCAAGTGTGAGTTAAGTTCAGCTAGAGTGAATAAGTGAGTTTGAGACGTATAGTTCATATACTGTTCAACACTTCAGTCACATGCTTTCATCACAGGGCAATACTTACGTTGATGAACAATGTTTTAACAATTGTTATCCTATGACTATTGTGTTTGCTTCGTACAGCCCTTTGAGGCCTTTCTTGTGATTTGGGGCTATAATACTTTTTGGATTTGATTTGATACGCCACAGTAACAGTGTGATGCTTTTTTTTACTGATTTCAGGTCCATCTCCACCCGAGGAGGAAAGCCCACCGGCACGGGAAGCTGTCCGTCCCCAAGGAGCTGCAGGAGGGCTCGGGGCGGCAGGGCTCGTTCCCCCGCCAGAGGATGGAGCTGTTCGCCGTGCTGTGCATCGAGACCAGTCACTACGTGGCCTTCGTCAAGTACGGCAGCGCGGACTCCTCCTGGCTCTTCTTCGACAGCATGGCGGACCGCGACGGTGGGTGTCATCACGGCCTTCTGACGCATTTTATCTCTTTTTTTTGCATCGCTAGTCAGACCAGGATTATTTAGTTGTCTGTAGAATGGTGCAAAAAATACACTTAAAATAAATCAAACAAATGAGAAATAGGAGGAAGGTACTTGAATTACTTTACTTCCTGATTTCTTTCTTTATGCTTTCTTGATGTGTTAATGTTGCACTGTTGGCATTTCCATTGCCAACAACTACACTGCTGCTTTTGAGCGTATGAAAATGAAACCTTTGTGTCATGAATTCAAGGCTTGCGTACATAGCTACAGTGTAGTTATGATAATGAACATCTTAGGTCACAGGCTCCTCCTCCAACACAATAAAAACAGATAAGATAGTGGAAGTAAATATAATATAATAGAAATAGTGCAGAATAGTCTATATACAAGTAATTGGAATATTGATATATATGATCCCTGAAACGAGTCCCGGTGGATATGTACAGGACATTGATTTTGTTACAGTTTCACACTGCGCAGCGACACAGATGGTTTTATAAGACCTCGCTGAGGAAGATGCTGAAGTCATGAATCACTACACGGAAATATTCAAGCACCAAATTCATCGTAGTGTGTTACATTTGAAGACTTTGAGAGACTGCATAACATATTTGTTCTTCCTGTGATATCATAACTTATCACGATTTAGTACAACTGGAAATGTAGCTCCTATCTGACATTAGGGCAACTGCTATTATAGCTTATTTTCCTAAATAAAATACACATTATTTCTAACAATAATGGGAGTAATTGTCTGACAAGTGAAATGCCAGTGACTTTTTCTTTCCTGTTAATACAAAGAGAAACGTCCCATATTCATCATTGGGACTAGAATTTAGAATTTTTTGCTTAAAACGTACACATTTTTCACTCGATTATCGAATGAGTGACTCATGGATGGTGAAGCGTTTTGAATGCATTTTGCTTTTAACAGATTATTTTACCCTAAAATACTTGGGTACTTAAATGTGTGTGTGTGTGCGTGTGTGCAAGCAGGTTAAAGGAGAACCGGTTCAGTTGTAACACCCTCCAATCGTGATGCCACTGGATAGATTCGTGAACTAATACTTTTACTTTTCTAGTTTCTGTTTTTATTTCCCTAAAAATAAGGCGGGTAATCATCATAAAAACAAACTAATGATTTCTGGAAAAAAGGAGTTTATAAAAAAAAAATATATATTTTGCATTCATAATTCATAATTTATAATTCATTGGCAATCTCTGTTTGATTTGCGCATCAAATCCTTTTCACATAGTTTTCACTTAGTTACAGATGATCTCATGGTATCTAATGTCCGTGCTCGTGTCTCTGCAGGAGGGCAGAACGGCTTCAACATCCCGCAGGTGTCCCCCTGCCCCGAGGTGGAGGCGTACCTGAAGATGAGCCCCGAGGAGCTGCACTCCCTGGACCCCAAGAGCATCGTGGGCCAGGCCCGCCGCCTGCTCTGCGACGCCTACATGTGCATGTACCAGAGCCCCACCATGAGCCTGTACAAGTAGAAAACCTCTCCCCCAAACCCTCCACCATCGCCACCTCCCCCCCAAGCCACACCACCTCCCCCCTCCCAAAGGGCAGGAGATTCCCAGAAAGACCAACAAAGTTAACCCTCTCCAGCCCAGCTCTCCTCTCTGGAGGTGGGAGAGATGAAAGCGAGAGGGGGGGAGGCCTATTTGCACTGTGCATTAGTTGAAGTGTTGTGTTCTTCATATGTAGCTTCCCTGTGTCTCACTGCTGAGCGTCGTTGGTGGAAGATGGAGCGAGGCCTTATGAAGACGCACTGGGCATGCTTGCGTTGCCGCGTCTGAAAAAACACGTGCAACGAAAACAAGTCGAGCTCGTGGGATGACCTCCTCCACCTCATCTACCTTAAGGAAATAGGAGTCGTGCTATTCTTAATCACTAACACACATCATGCAGTGGCCTCATCCAACTCTGCTCAAAGAACGTCTCTTAGTAGCATAGATTTCCTGAGGTGGTACCGTCAGCACTATAGACCCCCCCCCCTAATCATGCTGTGTAAATGTCTTTACAGTACATGTTTCTTTGCAGATAGCAGTAGCCATTGTAGAAGTGTCGTACTGCACATCTCGCTCTAACAATGCTGCACTTTTTTGCTCCATCCCCAAGTGGACCTATCAGGAAACATTTTCTTTTTTTTCCTCCCATTGGAAGTCACACCGAGTGCTAATTTGTTGGTCGGGAGACATCAGAGTTTTGTGTTACAGAATACAAATGTGCTTCTCCCCCGGTAAAGAGCGCTCTGCATTGCAAATGGCGAGGAGATGCCAGATAAATGCATGAAGGGAGACTTGTACAATGGCTGCCGTTGTAGAGCACTCCATGCACTCATGGGGTCAATGAGGTGAAGTCCTGGAAAAAGCCTGGCTGTTTTCTTTCAATTAAGGGAGTATGATGTGAGGAATTTCACATGCAGTGTTTTTAAGTGTCTGACTCATTGTGTTGATGACTAAATATAAATTATATTTTATGTTTACAAAGCCTTTTTTCTTTTGCCCATCATGGCAAGTATTGACTTTTGCTGCCTTCCATGAAGATGTGACATGCAATGTTTCCAGCCGTGCACCAGATAACTAAACAATATTATTTATTATATTCTAATCCTAATATAAACCTGTGTGTTATCCCTTTTTTAAGGAAATGAAACAGGGTTGGTGATACTGCTTTGGGTACTGCTTGTCCCTTTTCACAGTATAAGGAGTTATTGTAGTTTTCTCATAGCAACTACTGAATGTTAATAGTAACACGTTGAACAGTGTAAAGTTAACAAAGGATTGAAATGATGACGCACAAGGCTGGTAACCCTTGTGCGCAATATATATAAGTATTTAAAGAAACATTTACATATTCCATTGTAATCCAATTTAAAAGTACCTAAAGCATATTGGATTGAGAAGTAGTTGTTTTTATATACACACCATTGGATTGAACCAAGAAACTGCACATGTTGGCATCAGCATTATATATATTTTTCCAAATCACAACTTGAAAATTGAAGCAGTTGTGAGTATAAAACAAAAGTGTGAAGTATACGGGCGTTTTTTTAATAAATGAGGTTCCAGCTGACACTTCCATTTTGCTCTGTGGTCGTCTCCACTGTCGGGACTTCCTGTGTGAACTCCTTCCGCTGAATGTCGTCTCTGACTGGAGCCTCGGGGTTTTGATTTCCTTTTTCTGTTGCATCTGTACAGTATATACATATTTAACAGGTGGAAAATTAATGTCAGTGATGTTCCTGTAAATGTTAACAAAATAAAGCCCGTTTTGAAGGGTACACGTTGTGAGTGGTGTGATGAAAGAGAGAAATGTTGAGAGAAATTCATACATTCATTTGAAATAACACAATGCTGAGACATGAGGGTTAAAGGCACCAGAGAGAAAGTAACTTAGAAACTGTCTTTTTGTGTGTGATGCTAAGCATAAAACTTCTACATGAAGTATATATTCATATCATATTGCTTCAACATTAACTCACAGGTTTGATTAAAGGCAGGGGCGGTTCTAAGGGGGGGGCCAGGGAGGTCCACCCCCAAATAAAGCAGGTTCAAATAATTAAATTGCATACATTTTCTTTTAGTAAACACTGAAAACGGGTCCCACAGACACAAACAGCACACAAAGGTAAGTGTATAATAATGGGTAATGAAACAAATACCAATAACTGTATTGCATTGTTTTCTTAGGTGTATGCGCAATTACTTCATACTGTCTGTCTTTTTCGTCCTGCATTTATTGTGCCCCCCTCGGAAAATAACTGGCCCCAGCCTGGCAGTCAAATTGGTCTAGAACCGCCACTGATTAAAGGAGCCTGTTCTCAATGAGTTTACCTGTAGATTTGAAGGATAATAAACAAATATAAGATGGAAAGATATGTAAGATCAGAGAAAAACAACACAGTTCAACACAATTGAAAGTGTTGGAAAAAAGCATTATTAAGCTATGTGAAAAAGTAATGCATGGGGCTTGAACCTGTGACCCCTGATCCGAACACCAACGCACTAGTCCACTGCGCCACAGCCTCCCTGGCTATAGTATAGTAAGTCGAAAAAAGTTACATGATACTATGTCAAAAATATCTAATTAAAATAAAAAGTAATATACTGTAGTAAGTCAAAGAAAGCTAAAGTATTCTGTGTCCGAAATGTTTACCCAAAAAAAGTGTCCTTTTCATATTATTACAAGTCATAAAAATAACACGACATCATTTAAATATCATAATTATAATTATCATATACAGTAGTTCTTATTCCTGAGTTCACAGAGGCGTTAGCAGTAAGTCCCTGTAAACCTGGCTTTTTGGTGTGATTGTCAGTGTTTATCTGTGTGTTATCCAGATCTTATTGTTTCCTGAGAGGATTACCATGATCGAGCCCAATTTATACTCCTGACACGGCGATGATCCTCTGACTTATAAACACAACAACAATATGATCCCAGTCTGTTATGCTTACAGGAAGCAAGATTACCGCGGTCTGTTGTGACCACTTGGTATCTGGCCTATATGTCCAGATTACATCCACACACAGTGACCCAATTCCCCAGACAATCTCTTGACAACGACAGATAAATCGGTGTGTGTTATACACATGCGTCTCCCCCACAGGAACCCCGCTCCACACCTTACCCCGTTTAGTTTTGAGTCAAACTTGAAACCAGCTTAGCAAGCTGACTTCAGAAGTGCCTGATAAGTATTTGTCAACAGAACAGCTGGCACACAATGCCCTCTTGTAGCTTTATGCCACAGCATATGCCAGCCGCTCGTAGCGTGTGGTAATTTAGCCGGGGCTGGTTCTACAGGAACAGATGGGCTCCAGTATTGTTATTCCCGCTCCAGCTCAGGGCCCCTGGGGGGAATCACTAAATAAAATCAAAGCAGATGGACCTCTCTGGGCTAGGCTGTGTTTATGATAAACAGCCAGCACAACCAGTGTCCATCTAACACCTTAACCCCGCCCTCCACACTCTGACAGGAAACAGGATTACAGTGGTTTAACCTCACCTGCAACGCTCTCCTTTCACCCAAACAGAAGGGAAACCCAAACAAATAGAAGACAGGAAGTACATTATAACCCAGAGTTTCCATAATGTACATCCTGATCCTACACAACAACACCTTTTACCTCCTTGACCTTAAACTGTAAAATCCTCTCAAAACAGAAACACTTCCCTGTCTGACTTCCCTCTTCTTTCCCACTGACAGAGGACTGTTTTGTTCTTTTATATCCTTGTCAACATTTCACTGCTGTGGTTCTCACATCCATGCAGCAGACACAGGCTGTATGGTCATAGTAAACACATGATGGTGTCCCTCTTTGAGAATGCAGGACAGTTATCACTTACTTCCCATGGGAAAAGACAGCAATATATAAGAATGTATTTCATAGGTCTTTTTATGACGTGTTAGATGAGGACAGATGAATGGAAGTGTTCACCAAATTAGCTTAACTAGGGTAAGCTAGCTAATGTACTACTTGTGTTGTTATATGGTTTTAATTGCTGCATAAAACATTTTAAATACAGATTTATTGATTTGATTTATGGATGTTAAGGCAAAGAAACAAAAATATTCAAATAATTATAATAAATGTTTTTACATAGCACCTTTTAAACATAGTTACTCCAAAAAATAAGAACAAAATAACCGAACAAGAGTGTCTAAACAAATCAAATACACATTAAAATAAATAAGAAATAATAAAACATAAATAATATCTTATAAAAGCATTTCTTAAACAATAAGGTTTTTCAAAGTGACTTAAAAAAGCAGATATCCCCAGATGAATGCCTTTTGAGATATTAAACAATCAACCCTGAAATCCCCCCAAAATTCACCACAAACTGTGTATAATACAAACTAATAGCATATTGTGTGTTTTTATATAAAGCAAGTGTGAGTTTTAATACATGTAGTGGAGTTAAAAGTACAATATTTGCCTCTGAAATGTACTGGAGTAGAAGTTTAAAGTACAAATATGTCAAAACATTAAGACTTGTGTAAATGTACTTTATTTACTTCCCACGACTGGCTGCTTGACTGAAACTAGAGAGAGAGGCAACTGTTTTTAGAGACTGATATGGTGTCCCACTATGAGAATGCAGGACAGTTTCTCACCTACTTTCATTCCCATGGGAAACGACGGCACTAAACAAAGGAATCGTATCAGTGCGGAGGGGAGGTAAATGTCTGAGGTCATTAAGACAACAGGAAGGCAGTGATTTCCGTCACTGAAGATGAAAAAGAGCGGAGAATAAACGCTCTTAAGCAAATCAGTCCTAACTCAATATACTACTTAGGTGTTGTTTTAACTCCATCATGATAACCAGTCGTATTTACTGTCTTCAAAGGTCAGTTTCTGATGAAGTCAAAGTAGTGTAATCAACCTAAATGTTTATAGCCAAAAGTATTAACTCAGCAGTTACTCAGTCACTGTGAGCGATCTGATAATCAAAAGTTTCTCTCTGCAGGCTTCAGCAGACAATTGTTTCTCATCATTACCCAGATCCGTCTTATTTCCCCGGACAGATGCCCGTCCAAAATTACATTCACACACAGATTTAGCTTTCTGCCCAATTCATCAGTAAAGGGGACACAAATGCTTCTGGCCTTAACGATGTCAGGACACAAAATCAGCATTTCTGTCTGCTGTCATTGTTGTCGCTCACTTTTTTAAATCTGTGTGTGCAGGCATCCATAGATGTTATCAATCCAAGAAGCCAGCAGAAAGACACAATAATTCATATTTGATCGATTTATAATAATGTTCAATGATATTTTTTTATTTTTTTGTGAAATAAAACTCACGTTAACATACAATTAAGTAACAGGTAGGAAAGCATTCTGATGTGTTTATGCAATAGCACTCAGATACAGTAAGACTTGACATTACGTGTCACTTGTTAGACTAACATCCATTCAGTACTGTGGTCATCCCAACGGGAGCAATTTATCTCTAACCCATGGACACAACAACATGCTGACTGCAGTGGGACTCGAACTTGCTCTCCTCTGATCCAAAGATCGGTGCACTATCCCACTGAGCCACATCCACCAAGACACTCCCTTTACTTCATTGTACCCTAGTCTAAATGTAAAGAAATGCATTTGAATAAGATATTAAAAGACAAGTTATAAATATGTATACATTTGAATGACACAGTGTAACACTTTCTGCTGTAAAACTAAATGTTAATGCCAAAAGTTTGGTTTGGTTTGTCCCGTGGGAACCGAGTCCTAACTGCATTGTAATCTTTACATTTGTGCTCATCTACAGTAAGGAAACCATAAGTCCTTCTCCCAGATTCTCCGAGAGGACCCTGGCCGCTCGGATGAGAAATTAATTGCCTCTAAAGCAACAGCTAGCAGATGTTGTTGCTGCTAAGAGCCAGGTGTGGATAAATTGCATATGCAGAATGTGTGTAAAATATTTAAAGTCGTATCTTTCACTTAAGGTGTGAAGTGTTTTTATTGCCCATCACTGCTTTGAGTATGGCGAGAGGAAAGGCCGGCGGCCCCCCAGGGCCCGCTGCGGCTCAGCACCTGTGGTGTTCACACTGCGGAGGACTGAGAAACTTGGCATCGGAGTGTGTGTCGTGGTGGGTGGGTGCACAGGAGGAAGAGAGTGTGTGAGTGTGTGGGGGGGAGGGGGGGTGGAGTTGGAGGGGTCCCATCTCCACCTGTTCGCCCTCTAATTCTCTCCTGGCTGCCACCTTTAACACTGCATTATTTACAGGTGCTCTCTGGATGGAGACACAAGCTGCTGTCTGATTTAAATATGGATGGTTGTGTGTGTGTGTGTGTGTGTGTGTGTGTGTGTGTGTGTGTGCTAGAGACTGACCGAAGGCACGACGAGGGGATAGGG